CCCCCTCCCCCTCAAAACCCCCAAATCTTCGTGTTTTTTTTTTTCCCTCCTCTCTCTTTTTCTCTCTCATGAAATCATCTCTCTCTTAGTTTCAGAAAAACCACCGTACACCGCAGATATGGGGAAACACATTCGAAAACCCAAAACTCCGAGCGACGTCGCCGTTAAGGAGGTCTCTCAATCATCCATCGGCGTCCGCACCCGCGCCAAAACCCTAGCCCTACAGCGCCTCCAATCCACCACCGCCGCCGCCGACGCCTCTTCTCCGCCGCCGAAGCATGACTTCCTTGAGCTCCGGTCCAGGCGTCTCGAGAAACCCCCTCTGCTGAGGAAGCACATCCAGAATTACCGAAAAGCCCCTGCTCCGGAGCAGGGTTTCGTTTCGAGAGATAAAGAGGACTCTCGAAACGGAAGTTCGCCGGAGAAGCCACCCTGTTGCGAGTCTGGGTTTCCAATTGAGCCGTGCAAAGAAGTGGATTCGGAAATTGAGGCCTCCTTAGGGGAAAATAATTTGGATTTGGAGGCTAGGGAAAGGTATATAATCTCTCTGGGCTGTATTTTAATTCGAGTTATTCTGCATAAATTACTGATTTTTTACCTGATTTTCTCATTTAATTCCGTGTCAGAATTACATTTCTGTCTCTCGTACTTCTTCGATTTTTTTTTTTTTTTTTTTGGAAGAAGGGAAAGAGGAAAAATGGATTCAGGTCTGAGGATGATATTCTTTATATTTGTTTATGGGGTTTTAAGAAGAGAAATGGTAGCAGAAATTATCTTCAAAAAAGGGAAAGAAAAACAAAAAGAAAAATAAATTGTACGAAAATAATATTTTAAAGTTATCCATTTTATTTATACAGTACTAAATTTTTCATTTCAAAAAGCAGTATATTTTTGAAATCTTTGGTGAAAAATTGCCTGTGTTCTTGCTTTTTCTCTAAAGCAGAAAAGTTTGTTTGTGGGTGTTAAAAGTCTTGTATATTTGTATTTTTAGTAATAAAAGTTTTTCCACCATTGAAGTTTGTATCACTTGTCTCTTCTATCTTGTTTTTGTTAGTTATTTGCTAAAATGAAGAGCCACTACTATATTATGAGGTTTTTCTTGAAGCTGTGTTTTGGAGTTTTAATCGTATAAATAACTGATATCTGCTTCAGATGTATATATTTCTTCCATAAAGTTGCTTCAATCCGGTGGATGGAATTTGTTAGTATTGTTATCTTTTCCACTGAAAAAATCATCTTTCTGCAGAATAATGCAGTCCCGATTGCTTTAAATAGAACTTGCTTGTTTAGAGTTTGTGATATTGTTTAATGTGTATTGGTTATGTTGTCATTAATATTTCAGTTAAGCAGCAGAAACAAACATGTTTTTTTTCTGGATGCATTTGCTGCCATTGCCTTTTAACACCAGACACCATTTGTTGATTAGAACTGAACGATTAGTTATTTTGGGACCACGTTAAAGAGTAAATCGTAATGGGTTCCACTTTATATGTATAGTAATTAGTTGGCATTGATAATGAGTTGTGTGCTTTCTGTAGGAGCACCAGAGAAAGCACCCCGTGTAGTTTGATAAGGGCAGGTGACGCCATCACGGCACCCGGATCTTCAACGAAGCAGAGAACTCCGAGTGCTGCCAACCAAAGGGTCCAAAACGCACTTCAAAATATGCCCACAGCTCGTGAAATGGAGGAATTTTTCGCCGAGGCAGAGCTGCAAAATCAGCGCCTTTTTATCGACAAGTATGTCCCAAAAACCCTTCGTTTGATTTGTGTCGAAACCGAATAATTCGATTATGAATTCGTTATTGATAAAAGCCATGTATATATATATTCTTGCAGGTATAATTTCGACGTTGTGAATGATATGCCTCTCCCTGGACGCTACGAGTGGGTGAGGGTGACTCCTTGAGAGAAGAATAAACTGTTTGATTTTACGCAACAACCGAATGTATCGGAAGCTCACTTAGGAAGAAGGTAGAATTACTATGGTACCCCCCCTGCAACACTTAGTTGCTGCTGTATAAGTGGAACAAGTACCAGTTAAAGAAAGTCTAATTTTAGTGATCTGTGTAGAATACTAGGCCAGGAATTTGCAGACTAACCATTTAGAAATTAGAATCGCCGCACAGAATGTAACAATAGGCCCTCTCTCTCTCTCTCTCTCTCTCTCATAAAGTTCCATCCTTGTAATTTGCAGGTATTCATAGTTAGGTACTAATTTTTCGTTTTCTCGTCGGTTTGGTATTTGGAACAGATTGTAAGCAGTAAGTAAACTACTATCCATCTTTTACATAACTGTTGGGTCGTCTTTGTTGCTAACGGGGAATAAAGTTTGATGTTCGTATCACATTTCGGCTTCGACTGAGTAATGCGAGATTGGTGTTTAAGATTGCAAGAAAATGGCAGATGAGCCTATAACAAGTTCTTGATATGTGAAAGTGAACAGAGTATTGGAAAATGAATTAATTCACATGTTGCTATCTTGGATTTAATGTTTTAGACAGTGAATGAATGAATCCATGTAAGAAAAAGGAAAATCTCAGTGGTGTTTGTCTTCAGGTTCTGAATCTTGTCGGTGATAGATTTCCCAAATCCCTATCAATATGTGAAATTATTTAGTGTGGCATTTATTGAAGTATAGTACTTGCAATTTTATTTTTATTTAATTTATATATTTTATAAGTGTTGGATTCTTGCAAGTAAATATTGTTATGCTCCTTCACATGGGACATTGCACGGCCCCTGCCATGCACTGTCACACACTATATATTTTCTCCTTTAAATAAATAAATTTTGTTTGTGACCAAATAAAATGAAACCCTAGATCCTTTCATGTACAGTTTGTAGATCTTCCAGCATGGATTTGTTGCTATTGAGGGTCCCTTTGAATTTCATTCATTCAAATGAAATAAATATGCACATGTTTTTTAGTTTTATGTAATAAATTGTTATTTCTCTACTTGTTCTGTAAATAATCTTCTTGAAATAGTTTAATAAATATGATTATTTACTGCAGGAAAATGAAATCAACTGAAAAGCTGCTTTATATTTGTGACGCCGTTAATTAATTGAGTGTAAATTGTCAATGTCTGTTTGGATGGACGTTGTGACATTACATATTCCCATAATGACGATGTCGTTGAATTCTACCAATTGATCATATATATATATATATATATATATATATATATATGATAATTCTATTTGGAGCAAGAATTGCCTGTGAGAAAACTGTATCGGAAGTGTGTTGAGTTTAAAGTTATTATTAGTGACTCGACTCAACTCAGATCTCCGCTATTGGATAATTGCAGCTCATACTTAAGCTCACACACATATATAAATATGTAAAAAATAATATCATTAAAAGGGAAATATATTAAAAGATGCCAAATAGATAGTGTGGAAGAGTGTAGCAGTTAAGAAAAGGGGCATCAAGTACATATATATATTTAGAGAGAGAGAGAGAGAGAGAGAGAGAGAGAGTAAATTTTTGAAAGCGAAGGTTATTAAAGTGAAGTCGGAGGCAGAATCAAGTATAGGATTGAAAATAAGGAGGAATAGGAAAAGAAAAAACAAGAAGAAATGTCCAGTTATAAATGCATGGCTCTGATTTTATGATATCTTGGTCCCACCACTGCTTGGACACACCACCTCAATCCAACGGTGGTGGTGGATGAACCAGTGTGCTGCACGCGCTCTAACAGTACAGTTTCTGTCGAAAATTTCCTTTAATTTATTCTAAATATATAGATCCATTGAGTAAACCTACTCCCTCGTATAATAAGTTGCAAATCATACGAGAGATGTAAATTACATTAGGCTAACCATATGTGACATGTTCGACCTAAAGACTGTTGGGAAGTTGATTCATCTGGCACAAACTCTCTTGATTCAACAAAGTTTGTCAATCGATATAAATAAAAGAGATTTTTTTTAATATTGTAACCGAATTAGCCACCCATTATAACTTCATGGGAATTGGGAAGTAACAAATGTCTTGATTATATGTTTATTTATGGGCTCAAGTAGAACGATTCTGAAGTTAAAAAAAGTAGTACTCCATAATGCATCCAAATTCCAAGATACATAGATAGACATATTGTTGAAAAAGATGAAAAGGGAACCCCTAAAAAGACTAAAGCAGTTGATGGGAGGGGTAATTTTTTTTTTGGGGTTGTTTTGTTTTGGAGTTTTTAAAATGGGGTTATTTTTAAAGTAGTAATTAAATTGGTGTTGGCCGCCACCGGGAACGGCGGCATCGGACGGAGACGCCACCACTGGTGGCGGCACCGGGAGGAGACGCCGCCACCAGTGGCGTCTTCTACTTTTTTAATTAATATTTTAATATTTTAATATT